TTAGGTTAGGTTAGGTGGTGTTTATTTACTTAGGACCGATCACCAATTTACTTTTGGTGCAATCCCCAAGTAAGAAGCAAATCACATGATCGGTATCCTTTGACCTCCTGATTTCATAACTAATAATTATTCATGGCACAGGCAAGTTTAAAAGCACCAATACCATGTCGAAATAAACATCAAATTGCTCGTGGCGAAGCAGTGCAGTGCCGAAGGCAATGCCTTAGGAGAGATTACAGGCAAAGGTAAGTCAAATATTTTTAGGTTAACCTTCGCCGGCCGAGGGGGGTGCGGGTGCCGCACCCCCATAGGGTTTTTTCGCGATAGCTCCGAACACGCCGGCGATAGAGAGCTGAAACTTGGCATAGCTGACCTTTGATTCAAGCCGGATCTTTTGACACCAAACGCATTTTCGGGTCAGGTCAGGTCACCGACCTATGACGTCATAAGTGAACCTCTGCACGGTCTTCAGATGTCGCAACTTCGCAACGCCCTCACGGCCAGAGGAGCTTTCACAGGGAAATGAAACATGCAGGACCTAATATCCATTACGAGTCTCACAGCTTGTATATCTCAGATTTTCCTAAAGGTTATTTGAGGTCAGGTCATTTTCGTGACCTCGCCATTATAAGTCAAGAAGAAAAATGAAAACTGCTATTCTGGCGCCGGGAACAACCTCTAACTATCTCAAGCACACAGAATCGTGATTTGACGCCTTCCTTGCAAGGTAAGACGCGTAACTTTTGCAATGTTGACCTTGCGTGACGTCATTTATGACGTCATCAAGGTCATATTAGTTTTTCGTCAATAACTCCCGATCAAATTAGCTAGCAAGTCGGGAAAGCCACCAATGGACTCAGAAAGACCTGCCGAATCGAATGATATGCGACATGACCTCTTTCCACCAACTTCATGACCTGGGGGTGCTGACCTGACCGTGACCTGAGGTCAACACCCTAAGTTGACCTGACCCAAACACAAATTATATCATTTGACGCGCCTAAGCAAGGCAAACACGATGCTGCTAAAATCGCGGACCTTTTTGGCGAAATATTTCGCCAAAAACTGTACCGTACCTTGGAGCATTTGACCTGACCTCAGAGGTCACCGGTTGACGTAGGACCTTAAAATCGGGTATCAATCTCTGCGTCTCGTAACGGCGCACACGCTCGTTTTTTTCCGCGACGCGCCAACTCCACCATGGGCGAAACGACTAATAAGCATTTCGGCAAATAGGCATTTCGGCAAAAAGGCATGTCGGCAAATGGCATTGCGACTTTTTGACACGTCGGCAAAAAGCACATCGGCAAAATGACATTCGGCGAAATGCATTCGGCAAAATGACATTCGGCAAATCGCCTTTCAGCAATTACCACCTCGGCCGGCGCGTATATAGAAAACCAATAGGTCCGGTGAGGGTTAACCCTCGCCCGTAAACGGTGCTTTGCCACCTTCGCCCATGCAGGGGGGGGGGGTTGGTGCGACCCCCCCCTGGCGTTTGAAAACGAAGCGTCGTAGAGCTTAGCGGAAAAGACCAACGGATTGCTCTCAACGAGCTCTCGCGATTGGTGGTATATTTTTGGTCCTAGGTCAACATTTGACCTACTTATGACAGGTCAAAGGTCAAATTTTCGGAAAAATCAAACTTTTTTTCAGCTTTCCGCGCCAATTGCAGCAAAACGGTAAAAGATATCGACTTGAAACCTTCACTATCGTGATCCTTGATCAATTCTCTATCGTTTGGTGTGTATTTCGATGTCATACCTCTAAAAATGATGCGTTGGGAGCATCGGAAGTCTGCAAGGTCATTTGTGCATTGGGTCACGTCAGGCGTGTGACGTCACTGACCTGACCCTGACCCAAAATTAACTACAAGAAACAACCGACGGTGCCTGAAATGGATAGCAAATTCGAATTCAGGGCATCAAAATACCCCTAAAAGGCATACAAGTGCAAGAAGTCATTACAGGTCAACCGAGGTCACTGACCTTACCTTGACCTTTAGTGCCCTTCAAAATGTCAACAGACACTGTGCCAATGTCAAATCAGCCAGTTGTGATTCTAAAACAATCCATCAGTGCGTCAGGTCAGTCGGCATTTATACCAATGTGAAGCAATCTCCAATCTAGCGTAAATCTGGCCGGAGGTTGTTCCCTTTATGACGTCATAACTCCGTGACCTGATATGACCTTGACAAAAAAATTACCAAAAGTAGCGCAAAGGATGCTCCAAAGGGTACTGAAAATTTGAGCAGGCTATCTGAAACGGTTCGGCGTGTAGCTAAGAAAACCTCAGGGGGGTTGCACCCCCCCCCCTACATGGGCGAGGGTTAAATTGACGTGTATCTGGCTTCAGGCCGAAGGCCTGAAGCCTGATGCACAACCACTTAACCTAAAGATAATTGACTTATCATTGTCTGCAATCTATTCATGTGAGTATCTTCTTCCTTATCCACGGGTAGGCAAAAAACAGTAGGTCAGGTTAGGTAAGGTTTGGCTATGTTTTTCTTATACTTTGGTGACATGTAAGTGGGTTTCTTTACCTTTGAAAAGCGAGTCGGTCCTAAAGTTAATACTTACGGGTCACGTTAGGTTAGGTTAATTTCGGCTAATTGGCATTTCGGCAAATGGACATTTCGACTAATTGACTTTTCGGTAAATTGACATTTCGACTAATTGACACTTCGGCAAATTTACATTTCGACTAATTAGCATTTCGGCAAATTAGCATTTCGACGAATTGTCATTTCGACTAATTGACTTTTCGGCAAATGGACATTTCGGCAAATTTACATTTCGGCAAATTTACATTTCGACTAATTAGCATTTCGGCAAATTAGCATTTCGGCGAATTGACTTTTCGACAAATTGACATTTCGGCAAATTGACATTTTCGACTTATTGCACGTCGGCAAAAAGGCATGTCGGCAAATTGCATTTCGACTTTTAGCACTTCGCCCTTTTGACACGTCGGCAAAAAGACACGTCGGCAAAATGCATTCGACATATTGACATTCGGCGAATAAGCATTCGGCAAAATGCAGTTCGGCAAATTGTCCTGTAACCGCCGGAGCCAGCCGACGACATCGAGGCGAGGGTCGGAAGGTCGCGGGGCAGGTGCGACCCCGGGGGGGGGGGCGGGGGGGGGGGGACGATACGGCCGCCAGAGCCAGAGGTGCGGCGCTTGTTGTAGATATGGACTGAGCTGTGGAGCGTTCGGCTTGTCGGCTGACATGTACATTGTACAATGAATTTTGGTCATTGACCGAAGCCGTTCCGGCATTGTTTGATGTTCTAATCAGGACGGTGAAAAGGGCAAGTACTTCCAAAGCATAGCAAAGTGACTGGATTTAGCTTGTTTTCTGTGATGTTAGACTTTGCACACAATAACAAAGTTCATGTTCCCTTTGATCATACACGAGCTTATAAATAAACCAGGCTTGGGATGCCCCAGTAAAACGAAATGTCACTGCAGACAGCTGGGGAGGGCCGAAGGGGTTCCCGAATTAGGGCTCCCCCGCAGTGTATACTACGGGCTTCTGCTTTTGGAGCCGGCAATAGCAGGCGACATCAAACGGGCGCGGGCGTTAGATGCACGCGGCGATAGAGGGGATCAATGGGCCCGGTCCGAGGCCGCACTGCCGGCGGCTCCTTTAATCCTGCTGCACAGAGGGGTGCCGGGGGCTGCGGCCGGCCAGCAGCGAGAAACAAACGCCAGGAAAGTGCGCAGCGCGCGCGCAGCCGCCGCCGCGCCATATACAGCGCTGCTGCGCCGCCTGACGTCACCGGCTGCCAAGCGGCTGGCCGGAGCCGGTTCTGCCTGCTGAGCGGAGCCGGCGGCGCGCCCGACTCGTGAGCCGACCGTCGGCCCGACCATGGCGTGAGCGCGCTCCAAAGCGGTGCCGACAAAAATCAGCCGCCGCTCAGCCGGCCGCGTCACGAGCCACTATTTACGCCCGCCGGCAAAGGAGGGCCGCCGCCGCCAGCCGGCAAACCATAGCGGAGTCGGACCGATTAGACTCGCTGACAAACCTCCGCCCGACCAGCGGCGCAGTGACGTCACGGCGCTCCGCTCAGCGACGCATTAGAGCTGCATATCGTGGCGTCGATCTGCGGCAGCCCGGAGGCAGTGCTTCACTCGGCCCAATTAGTGCTTCAAACCAGACAGCGGCACGGGCAGAAGGCGCCAGAAAACGGCGCCAGGCCAGTCGAGACGGCGTTACGGGCAGGGCAGCCTTGTCATGCTTGACCCTGGCCATTAGTGATCATAGTTCAGTCCAGCTCAGTTCATCCTAGCTGAAACTGAGGTGTAGGTAAAGCCGTTTAATTTTTAAACGCTCAACCGTTTCGTGCATTTACTATCCTACATTAATGTCAACCAGTGACCAGTTGCACGCTATATTTACGGCAGCGGTATCCATGCTTCAAAGAACGGTGACCTAATAGGAAGACGAACGGTGAAGTCGCGGCTGAGTTGGCGGTGCTGGTTGGTCACGTCAGCGGCAGAGCGGCCACAGGAAGACTGGCGCCGTGACGCCGGGGTGACGGTGCGGCCGTCACGCGGCTGGATGCACCGTGCAGGTCAGCGCGGGCCGCCATGGCCGGCCGGTGCACACGGGCCGCCGCGCTCGGGCGCGCGGCCGCCGCAGCGGCGCCATCCCGCTGGCGCCGCGCCGCTAAATTGTAGGGTGTTGATGGTTGGCAGCGCGCCAGAGCGGCGCGCTTTGATCCGCCGCGCCGATGGGCCCGGGCGCATGTTATTCGCTGGCGGCCGGCTTCAAACGGCGCCGCCGCCAGAGATAAGCCGGCGGCAGCGGCGGCGGCCGGCCGGGGGGAGGGCGGAATTTGGCCGCGCGCAGCCGGGAGAGAGCGGGCAGAGGGGAGAGCGGCAGAGCGGCGGCGGAACCGGGCGGCGAGCCGGACGCGGCCCAGCTACGCACCAGCGCGGCGGGGAGGGACGGAGGGGAGACTGGCGCGGCCCGTGGGGGCGAGTGGAGTGGGGAAACGGAACGGACGGACAGCAGCGACGGCACATACGGTATGGAGCCCTGCGAGTTTGTGGTCATTCCAAAACAATATCCAGCGGGAACAAAGTAAAATATGTGCTTAATGGGGCGTCTATCCAGTAAAAGTAAGCAAAAGGAAACCTGTGGAACACTAATGGAAGTAAAAGTAAAACTCATGAAAATGAACGTATGGTGATATTGGAGGCAAAATGACTAAAATACGCTTTAGGCAAACGTCCAATTTTAAAATCTACGTGCAAGTGTCCAGCCTGATGTTTTCGAAAAGGGTCCTGCAATAAAAAGGGCAGTTTAATATTGGAACCTACCTAAGTGTGGGACCAAAACCGTGCCACTACTTAGGGCGACCACAGATCGATGCTTTGTTTCAAATTTCAATGTCCTACAAAATGTGTCATCCCACATCGCAACACAACTGAACTCACACCAAAGCACAAGATGCTCGCTCGACAACAAAGCAACGACGACAGGCATCCATCCACAAAAACACCATTCCAGAACCAACATACCTGGCATCGTCTTGTATCCGCCGAGCACCTTCATTTTCCACCACTTCAGGATCGTGGCCATTCTGTTCCTGACTCTCCGCAGGATCACATTGCACTCCGTGACACCTCCTCACTAGCACTCGGCGTCGAGCTCGCCTGCTCTTGCCGCCCCAACCGGCGCTGCTGTCCCTATTCACCACGAGCGCCGCACGCACAACCGAACCCTCCGAACGCTCTTAGATCTCTGGCGCGGACGGCGCGGCGGCGGCACGGGGGGAACACTAGCGCCGCCCTGCGGCCAGTCGGAGCGACCGGGAACCTCCGAGAGGCCGCCGGCGGCGCTCGGTCTGCGCGCCGGGCTGGAAAGGGGGGAGTGGAGAGGGACAGGGACGTAGGCATGGGACAGTTAGGAGAACCAGCACATCCGGGGCACTGCTATTCGAAAGATTTCCATTTTCCACACTAAAAAGCGTTCAAAATCATGAAGAAAGTACTTTGGTCATGTGTAAGGTCGCATCAAAGGTCAGGTCACAACTGAGATCATACCTAAAATGTCCATTCTTTCAGTGTTAGCGTTCTTGGGAATATGTACGCAAAGCTTGCGAACTCAACGCTATTTGAGCAAGAAAGTCAGGTAGCGTCTTATGACGCACGAATAACGAAGTGAACGGCATTCGAAATCGAGTTTCGACGCGGCAAAAACAAAAACCGCGTCTCTGTCGTCTGCAACCGTTACCAACCGTTCAGGTCTATGATGAGGTCATTGGAGGTCTATTGTCTGGGTTGTTCACCTAAAACCGGACCCGACCTTTGGGTCTTTGAGCTGACCTCAGAGGTCACCAGTTGGACTATACGGTTCGTGCTCTGTTGGGGGGTGACACCCCCCCCCCTCACCCTCCCCTCGCGGTATGTGACAGTATAACCTTATCATAAGGACTGGGTATATGTTTTACGCACATGTGCAAATTCAAAACTAAGGTCCCTCAGTCAGGTCGCCAGGTCGCGTCAAGTGACCTAACATCAGGAAAAGTTACGATGTTCAGCATATGCTACAATAACGAACGTTGGGCATTAGTAAAACTTTAAGCGATTGGTTAAAGTAAAATAACAGTACGTATGATACGTACGTATATCTTGAGTTATGATATCGGTGACCTAAGCTCAGATCAATTTTGTGACTTCTCCATTTGTGTGTTGATAAAGGTAAAAAATGAGCTCGGTATTTCTCTTTTGGACATAGGCGGCGGAACGAGGGGGGGGGCACCGGGGTACCGTACCCCCTTTCATTTTGGCATTTTTACATTAGCCCTATGGGCGTTGCATGGATAGAATGGGACCAAAAGTCGGCAGTGCCCCCCCCCCCCCCCTCTAATTGAAGGTGTTCCGCCGCCATTGCTTTTGGACGAGTCATACGGCTCTCAAACATCGTGTAACTGGTAAGCATATTGAAAAATGAATCGGAAAATTAAATCCCTGGTCCGCCTTTAATCGTTATACCCCTGAGATAATCAATCAAATCATGTAAGGTTACCATACTTCGACAGCTACAGGTCACTTGATTGAAACACGCTCAAGCGATGAAAGCCTTGGATGCGTTCAAGTTAACGATATTGAGCGAGATATACGCACTCACAGTATGACCTACTCCAGTCGTCATGACCTCGAAGCTTGAATTCAGATTTTAGAGTTGACCTTTTTGGGTCAAATTACTTGTATATCATTCAACATCCTCTCTACGAGAGAATGCTAAAAAAATCAGATCAAAAGTTTTTGCAGAAAAAGTATTCGGCAAAAAGTCCACTTTCGCGGTTTTTCTGGAGCATAGGTAAACCGTTTAACCCGCGCACCGACGGGGGGGCGGGTATCCGCCCCCCCCTGAGGTTTTTCGCGGATAGCGGGAAAACCGCGGCGCGTAGCGCCACGAAATTTGGTACGACTATTCTCTCATCAATTTTGCACATGGTGTGCAAGTTTGAACCTCCTAACTTTCAAGGTCAGGTCACCAGGTCACTTTGAATGACCCAACCTCAAGTCACTTTTTTGCAACTTTGTCACCGTGCCAGAGCTACAGTAGATGTCGGAGGCCTTTGAAAGTCGCAGGATGTTATTAGGTCCTTAGTAGCTACAATTTGTTTATCTCGGAATTTTGATGTCGGTGACCTAAGGTCAGGTCAATTTCGCGACCTCCCCATTATAAGTCAATAGGGGAAAAATCAACTCCCTGTTTTTACCACTAAAACGGGTCGGAATGGCCCCATATACCATTCATGACTTCATATATGATCAACCTTCACTACCTTGAGGTCTGTTTTGCTGTTGGGCAGCTGTAAGGTCATGTGACGTCATCAAAGGTCACCAGCGGTTTTTTGCCAATAACTCCGTACAGGAACAAGATACAGCCGCGCGGATGGTCTCATTGTGTTCAGCTCGTCAAGACGCATCGAATGATATACATGATGACCTCGAGGTCACGTGACCTGAGGTCAACCTTTGGCCTTGACCTTTCGAGGTCAACATATATATTATTCGATGCGGATTGACGAGAGGATCACGATGATGCCCTTAGTTTGTTCCTATCTTGACTAATTCGAAAGTTATTCGAGAAAAACTCTCTCCATATCTAGCGCCGCCATTTTGACTTTTTCGACCCCTGTGACGTCATCTTTGACCTGACCTGAAAATGACCTTAGTAAAAATTGTAGACCTTGTCCGTGCGTATCCGATGCCGTTTACCACTTGTCGCTATCTTGCTTCGTTCTCGAGATCTCAGGGGGGGCGGTCATCCGCCCCCCCCCCCCCCCCGTCGGTGCGAAGTTGGCGCAGACCCCCGTCGGTGCGCGGGTTAACCTAGGAAGTGAGACAAGCGAACACATTAGCAGTTCTGAACACCACCACCGTCCTCTAAGCAAGATCTTATTTTGACTTCTCATTCAGGCTATTTCTCTTTCGGCCACCCTCTAGCCTCTCGGATTACCCACAGCTTTCATTTCCCCCGTTAGGTACCCTAAGACCAAAGTTCTGACGGCTCCCGTTGCCCACAGGCTGACTTAGTTCTGACTTCTCCCGTTACCCACAGGCTTAAGTTTTGAGTGACCTTTCATATTACCTACCGTTCTCCTCTCAGGCTACCCACATTCCTGACCTCTCGGGTTACCCACAGCCCTGACCTCTCGGGTTACCCACAGCCCTGACCTCTCGGGTTACCTCAGTTCTGACGGCTCTCGGGTTACCTCAGTTCTGACGGCTCTCGGGTTACCCACAGTCCCGACTCCGCAGTCCGTCCGCGGCCGCCGGGCCTGTCTGTCTCTGTGACCTGCGGCGGCAGTGACCGATGTACCGAGGTGCTGGGAACGACCCGCCCTGCCGCCGGCCACCGCCCTCCCCGGGCCAAGCGGGCGCAATTATCCGTCATAACCCTTCCGACCGGCGCTCTGATAATTACCGAATCGCGGCCTAATAGCCGGCTGCGGGTGACATCAAACGGGTGCCGCCGGCCGCCGGCCGCCGGCCGCGCGGATGGCGTCCTTTGTGCAGCGCACCACTCCCAGGCGGCTCTTCATTACCGCCGCCGATCACGGAAATTAGCCGCTTCAAAGGTGCCGCCCGCCCGGCGCCGCATCAAAGGAGCCGCCCGCCGCCAGTGGCACGTGCGACGAATGGGAACAGGTGGTGTACCGTATTTGATGTCGCCGCCGGTCGTGCGATGCGGTCGTCCGTCGCCCAGGTGACGAAGGGGAGGGGCGGAGGCTGGACCACCGCCGGCGCCAGTCGACAGATGTCCGCCGATCCGCCGTGATACGTGTGTCGGGGGATGCTGGCTTCAGCTGCCGTAGTTACACGGCTCAGCAGCTGCATATACAGCAGCTGGTACACCGTACAAGGTTCAGACGACAAAAGAAAGCCACTGAAACCCTCAAAAGCAGTACAAAGTTTTTTGACCGTATGTCAAATGGTAAACCCCATTTTATTGCGGTAGCTTTAAAAGTGGGCAATCGCTTATCGATTGCAGTCGTACTTTTCCTAAGAGTACTTTTTATTCGTATATTTATTGTTCACAGGCGCATCTGGTTTCCTAAGCCAGACTAGAGTAGACTTAGACCTAAAATTTTGAAACCGTGCTGAGTACAGATATAAAAAGTAATAAAAGCACTAATTTCTAAGTTTTTTATGCGCAACAAGTATGTAAAGGGCAGGTATTGTTATAAACGGACTCAGCGACAACCGCTCTGGTGGAACTGAGGCCTGCAGACGGCACAGTTCTCTGCTTTCTTCCAATCAAATTAAGCCCTGGCCCCCTGTGTAGTAGCCGGGCCGGGCCGCGGCCGTAGCCGCTGACAGCCATCCAGTGACGTCACGATCAGCCACGAAGCTGACAGGTGACAGCACGGTGACGGCTGACGGCAGCTCAGCCGCTGACTGTAGGTACGAGTGCATCGCGCAGAGTAGGCGGCCGGTCGCGTACGGAGACTGCGCCCGCTGCCATGGCTGTGACTCGCATGCTAAGAGCAGCGGTGGCGACTGTTGGG